TTGTATTGCTGAAGTCACTCGGAAATAATTTTTACCGGAAATTATCAAACAAGCAGATGCATAACAATATTAATCTAGTCTCTGTAAAAATTATGGATAAAATATTCGGATTAAAAGAAACTAGTCTGGGTTCTGCAGATCAGAGTTAAACTGTGCTTATTAGAATAAGGGTTAATCAGTTCTAGACAGACGAGATTGATAAAGTACTCTTATTACAAGAGACATTAGTTGGGTTTTATGTATTAAATGGTTAAAGGATTTGGTAATTTAAGGGAGTAAAATGACTGTAATTAAAAGGGTTGTAACTCAAAGCTTCATAGATTTGCTGGTTCATAGATGAAATGTTGTTGGAACATGTATACGTCTTATCAGTATGTATGTTTGAAATCATTTCTATTTACAGAATATTTAAGATTCAGGAAAGATGGTAGTGAAGACTTCAGAAATGATGAGAACAGTACTCAACAAACTGATCAGTGTGTAAGTATGCTTGGATTTTGTACTGGCTGAGTATTGGCACTAGAGAATAATACGAAGATAATATACTTGACATTAGGTTTTAAAATATATTTTGTCGATCTTTATGAGTTACTATAATTAAGGGAAATACTCACTGATATATAAAAGATTGTTGTTGAGTATATTTTGATTTAAAAAATTCAAAGTTTTAATTAATTGGGCATTCTACATTTTTGTCAATAAAAGCAGGATAATTTTATGTATGATTTTATAATCGTTTTATGGGAAGTTGTTATTTGTCCTATGTATCTTACAGACTTTTGGATTAGTAAAATATTTGAAATGAACCATCTTTTAAACTATAGTCTCACTTGTTTTCGTTAAGCTATTAATAAATATATTTAAAAATTACAGTTGATGTCTAGTCTATTAACAATTTTATTTAAAAATCAGTTTACTACCATGAAATATCTGTTAAGCTAGTATTATTTTTTCAAATACATAAAAAGACTTACTATTATATTGGTAATTTGAAACAAATCAACAAATAATGATACAAAGAAATAGTAGAAACATTACTAGCTAACCCTAGCTTCAGAAGAATAAGAACCAGGAAGGAAACTTATCAACATTTTGAATAGTTGAGTTCTAGAACAGCTTTGATATTCATATTTTAAACTTATTTTTTGTTGCAAGAAAAATCAGTACAAAATCTTTTATAAATGCTTTTTATTATCAAAATAGTCATTTTTCTGTTTTCATGCAGTACTCTCATATATTTGTTGATTCAACTTGTACCAAAAATATGTTGCTTAATATTTTGTAATTATAAAATTTGTCTCATGAAAACTGGACTTACAGAGCGAAGGTATCAGGTTGTTGACCTGATGTGGGTTTTTAAGGTGAATATTTTCCTGAAAATATATTTCTGATAGATACTTACTTCCATGCACAGTTACAGCTATTCTCAATTTGACTGCCCTCTAATCCACAAATTTTCGCTTGCCACTAGCCTTGAAACTCCCACCTAATTCCACATGTATACCACGTGGTTCAGCTGCATTTAAGGGTGTAAATTAGCATGTGACAGTCCTCCACCAATAGGAGTACAACAAACCCTCGTATTGCAGCTGATCTCTCTATGCAATTGAACCCAGTCTTCACTTCAAGATTAGGCGTGAAAAACGACACTGAGAGTGGGTGGATGGGTGGGAAGTGTGAGATGAAATGTATTTTGAGTGTAGGAAAATATTAACTTCTGATACGATTACTTACCTCTACTCACAGTTAAAGCTAGAATCCCACATTGAGCAGGTTGAAGGACCAGTGTAAAGTTACCTAGATGAGCACCCTTCAAAAGTATCTGAGGAGTACCTATGAAGTGAGCCCTCTCTATGGAGAGGAAACACAAACGTGGAAAACTGCATCAAATCTGAACCAGGTATACTCTTTTCCCATGTGAAACCAACAGGTGTGGTGTCACAAACAAACAGCGGAACAAGGTAACAAATCCAAATCCCTAATCACTGGGAGGAACTCTACCAGTCAATGGCAGGAGGATGATCCTTATGTGAGGATTTATGTTGGCTGGTCCAGCTCCAACCAAAACCAGACACCAAGGAACTGACCTCTAGGTAGCAGTACACAGAGGGTTCCCAGCTGGAGGGGCAATCTACAAGGTGGACAAAAAAATCCAGTCCAGACTGGCAGCATCTGGAATAAAACATCAGACTTGTAGCAGGAGGATAGTCAGGCCTGTTACACAGGCAAAATGCCACTACCCTACTTTCAAATGAGTGGAATTGTGCATGCTCAGGAGAATTCCTCCATGATCTACCACCTTAATGACTAGGAGCTGGGAAGTGGTAAGGACTCTCATACTCCATTGGAAGAAGGTAGAAGAAATGCATTGGAGAGTCTGGATGAATTCATCACCAGAGAAAGACCAATGGGTGACCCCCAAAACCCTATTTTGAAAATCAGACCATTCCTGATTCTGGAATCTAAGGAACGTTAGAGATGGACAGCAATCTCTGTCTGCTTTACTCAGGTTAGTTCATTAGTGAACAGGCCAATACAAACATATTTATGATGCAATATACTGCAAGGAAGAATCTGCAAGCAGTCTTGTGGAACACCATCTCAACATGAGCATGATAGACTTTACAGATCTCATGGTACAGATTTGGATAATGGTATACCTGGACAGGCACCATTTGCCACAAAGCAGTATCCATAATGTGAAGTGGGCCCCTGAAAAAAAAGAAGAAATAAATATAACTTACTCACTCAAGAGTTGTACCAGTGTATGGAAACACATGGAAACTGTCAGATGGGGCACGTAATGCTACAAAAAAGGATGACAGAAATGAGCAACCAAGGACATTGGGAGGTGACGGATCTGATGGGACAAAACACAGAACAATTAGCAAGATTCAGGAGAAAGGGAGAGAGAACCATGGAAAGGTGTTGTGCACAACATGTAACACTGTAAAGCACGGACTGGACAGATGAGACAATCTGGATCAGAGTGGGAGGAAATATGGGATATAGAAGGAAGGGAAAAAGGGGTGATGGCAAAATCTTCTTTGGAGGTAGATGACGTTTTGGGAAAGAAGGAATGGTCGGAATACAAAACGACATAGGATTGAGGTATAAAATATGAGAAATGTTGATGCCAAACACGTCTGACTGAAGGCATCCATAAGCCAAAAGGAAAAGGAAATACATTTTCAATGAAAGGTAATATAAGGAACATGAGGCTAGCAGTTCCAAGGGAGGAAGGGAAAGGGCATAGAGAACAACATTGACATTCAAGGGAAATGATGAAGATTCATATACAGAAATAAAAGGGAAATAACTGGAAAGGAAAACACATGGCAAAAACTGGAAAAACGAAAGTTAGATGACAGAGCCACTGAAGAAAGGGAGGATCTATGCCAGATAGACCATGGACGAATATTCTCCACTTACTTTGATACACAGACATGGACGAGAAATGGACATAGTGAGACAACAGGAATGTTACACTCGTGGATAGGCCCAAACCCCTTGCAAGAGACCAGACAAAAGCCACGTGTGAAGCTAGGGTGTGGGAACGAAAGGATGGAGCACCCACGAGTGAAGCTGCCAGAGGAGGGACCAGGAGAGATGGAGAGGCAATGGAAGTAGTTCCTGGAAGAGACAGGGACAGAAACCATGGTTGAGCTGGCCAGAAAGGAGCCACAAGAAGGAATCGAAACAAGGTGGATTGGATGAGAGAAATTACTTAAGAAAGAAGATAAATGGGAGGATATGTATAAAGGAAAAGGTCCTTCCAAATCTGGCTGAACGCATTCATGGCCAAAAGTAAAGGATATGGAACTGGGGACCAAAAAAGAGGAAGTTTGGCATTCAGACTAGTTGGAGATGCATACAGCTGGAGAGTATCCAACTGAGAACATAGTCATCAGAATACCTGTGGTTTGAGAGAGCACTCCATGAGTAGAACCTTGTCGGGACAGGCCAGACAAACCATAACAAAATTAATGGCATCCAGTATGTGACAAACCAGCAAACGAATTTGATGGCTGTGAGCCCGGAAGAAGAGCTTTAGAGTGCAAGAACATAAGGACCAAAATCGAGTGCCCCCATTTCAGTTGATGTAAGAGAAATTGAACCATCAACCAACAAATAACAAAGAGTTCCAAAAGATTGATGTGAAGACCTAACTCTTCCTGAGATTAACGGCTGGAGATCTCCTAAGTATTGCAGCATGCACCCTATCTTGTCAACGAGGCATCTGTGAAGACATGGATATCTGAATAGGGAGGAGCAATAGATACCCCCACTGTTGTGTTGTCCCTGTCTAACCACCAGAGAAAGATGGACAGAAGGGAAGCAGAAAAAAATATATGTAAAACCAGAAGGTCCATGATGATGTACCATTCAACTTGTAGTACCTACTGCAAGGAATGCATGTGAGCATGGCCAAGAGGGATAAGAGTCTTCAGTGATGCCCAAGTCCCCAAAAGAGACACAATCTCTCATGCAGGGAGAGAATATGCTGATAATGCTCTCTGAACTAAAAACTCCTTGGCTTGTAGAGGAAGAGGAGAAGGCTGTGGTCAACTGAGATGTGAGCTGAAAAACACCTCCAAAAGAACAAGATATTGGGTGGGGTGGATAAAAGACTTGTCCATCTAGATAATGTAACCCACCCAAGTAGCTTCTTTGATTAGAAATTGGGTGAATGTGGAAGACTCTTCAAGGAATGGATCCAGAAGAAGCCAAACATCCATATATAGATGGAAATCTAGCATGCAAAAATCTAGGAATCAGGCTAATGACGGGACCACCCAACACAAAGCGTAGGGTGCCAATTCCACCCAGAGGAAAAGCCAGAAATAGATAAGTCTGATCCTTGTGGACAAATCATAGATAATGACGTGAAGCCTGAGTAATAGGAATATGAAGACACATCAAATCTCGTCATGCAACGCCCTAGAAAAGAGGCCCATCTGAGAAACAGCTAGGATTCCATGGTGAACCAAGGCACATCAAGGAAGTGGCTCAGATGGGAAAGATGGAAAACATGACGCCAATACTCGGTCTTCTTGGAGATGACAAAAAAATTGGGAATAGAATCCTGAATGGAGAGAAGAAACCTGTTTTATGGCATCCTTGGTGAGAAAATATGGAACTGTTTCTGTGAGATGCTGATGGAAAATTGGATCTTGATGGGAAAAAAGGAACTAAGACATGGGATAAGGCAGGAGGTGTGAGGAAAAAGAGAAAAAGTTTTCCTAACAAACCTTGAATGACCCAAGGGTTTATTGAGTGATGATATGCAAGTACTTGAGACTCTGCAGTATGTGGGGAGCATGGCATACTAACCCCAACACATAGTTGATTTGTAAAATGTTCGGCATGGACCCCAATATCAGATGAAGAGGGAAAATACAAAATTCAGGACTAGGTGCTGCAGTTAATAATGAAGGGGTGGGATCAAATGGGTGACAAAGACAAAACACATTATACCTGTTATATCAAGTCTAAAAAATGGTGACTGAGGTCTAGATGCTTCAACAGACTGAGAACGTGCCTGCACAGCAAAGGAAGGGGGGAGGAATTGTCAAATTCCTCAACATCCTGATCTAAGTTGTTAGGTAATGGTAAAATTGCTTGTAGATCAGGTGATCTCTTGGCCTGCATGAAAGAAGCCATCTTCTGAAGAACTACGGCCAACACTTCCTCTGTCAATAATGCTGCACCTGCAGCCATCATCACGAGCTGTTGAATGCCAGTACCATCAGTAGCCACTGTAGTTGTAAAAATAAATTGTTAATTCAAAAATATTGACTGACTACCAATAATTGAGTGAGAAATAGAATTCACAATCAAATGAACAAATCCAAATGGATAGTGGATTATAAACAATACTTTGAATATGTTACACAGTTAGAGATATGGTATGTGGTTAGAAAGCTAGTTATGTGATTTGAACTTACAGATAAGTAGGTATATTGTTAAAGATGTTATTGGACATTTCAGAGTTGAACTATTTAGTTATAGAAATAGGTTTGAAGTCAAGCATGGATTTAGAGAGTTAAGCTGCAGGTTTAAGAAACTGGAGTAGTATTTAGATAGCTGTGGTATGTGGTACATTAGTCATAAATGTGGTAGTTAAGGAATGTGATGTGACCATTGAATCATGTGGTTTGTTAGACTCGTGTATTTAGCTTAAGAGTAAGATGTATGCTGAAAAGTCAGATATATAATAAAAACTAAATATATATATTTAAAAATTAACGTATTATACACAAGAGTTAAGATATGTAGTTAAAAAAATCAACCATGTTGTTAGAGGAATGAAAATATGGGGTATAAAAGTTATTCATAGGGTTAAAAAGGCAGTTTCAGAATTTGAAAGTTAACGTGTGGTGTTAAAGAATAAGGCTAGCATTGAAGATTGAAGAATAAGTTTGGAAGTTTGAGATTAGATGCTGTAACCCAAATAATGTGTTTAAGAAGATGGATAAATAGAAATGATATTGGATAACTGTTTTGGACTTAGATTAAGTTTCACCATTACAAGATTTAGGATTAGCTCCAACTGATTTTTTTGATGATATAGTGCAAGTTGCTTATATTCCAAGTGAAATTACTTAACATGTTTTCTGTGTTTAAAACCAAGGCATTTTAAGGACCAGAAGCAGTTGATTTAAATTTATACTGCTAAATTGAAATATTTAATTCATAACTTTTTCTTCATAGTTTTCACCAAAAATGTATTCTGAGGATAGTCAAAAGATCTCTCTCATTTCCCGAAAGCCCATGGCAACTGGAGGTGATATAGATTCCATTTACTTTGAGACAAACCAAAGAAAATTGTCTTCACTCACTATTCAAAGAAAAATCTCTGGTCAGGTTACAGAGGATGATCAACCAATCACTGATAGTCGTGTCCCACAACTGAAAATTCCCCAAACTTACTTTGATGAACATGTGCGCAAACCATTTGTTCCAGTAGATTCAGTTCGTCAACATAACCGATTTCTTTCCCAAGATTTGAGTGAAAAACCAGAAGAACCAGCTCCCTTGTCAGAAATTCAAAACTCCTCAGCTGCAGGGAGTATAACACCATCAACATCAGATAAAGAACCTAAATTGTTAAATAATTCTGAACTTTCAACCCCAAGCAATGAACTTAAAAGCTTTAATGATGTTAATGTATCAGGTTGCACAGATCAGACACTATTATCAGTGCCAACTATAAACAGGAGGAATAGTAGTGAAAGTATGAAAGCAACAAATGAATGCAACTCAAACCAACTACCTGATAATTCACCATTGCTAGCACAGCTCAGCTCAGTTAAGAAAAAGAAATCAAGTACTGAAATATTATCAATTCAACAAGAATCACTTTCTCCCAAAACAAGTGAAAAAAACCTTAAACAACTACCATCGACATTATCTGTTTTAATGCCTTCATCATTAACTTATTCACCAGCTTCTCAGTCCGCTCTACCTTCCTTTTTACAGGTCCCAACAGTACCAACATCAGTTTTAGAACATTCTACAGTTTCAGTGTCCAATAATCAGTCGGAAACTCATTCCTCGTCATATGTTCTTCAAGCATTATCAAAAGATGTGCCTAACTCAGCACCAAAAAATCAACTGGACAAATGGTTGCAAACTAGAAAGCTTAATTCAACTTTACAAAAAATGCCAACATCAGTTTCTGTAACTTCCTCACTTGCTAGAAACTTGAAATCACCATCCCTATTGCCACTTGAACAGCTCATACTTTATTTTAATAATCCAGTTTCTAAACCTCTGTCATCCATTGTTAGCCCTGCAAAAGCTCCATCACCTAAATTAAATCATGATTCAAGTCCAAATTCAGATACAACTAGAAGCCAACCAAAGGAAATCTTTTATATAGATATATCAAGAAACAGAGTCTACAACCCAAAAAGTCACCATTCTACGTGGTCACCATCTGCTAAGATTACTTCTATTAATAGGTAATATTTAAAATTTTCTCCCTATTATGTCAAGTTTCTAATAAAACAAACCATCCCCTTTTCATAACCTTTATAATTTATATAGGCTGCACCAAGTTAAAAAATTGTCATAATATAAAGAGAGGTAAATCAAAATATTCTATGTTTTCTTCTCTAAGATTTTGTGTTTTTAGATTCAATCGAAAGTTCTTGTTTACTAGTTCAACACAGACTTTTATAAGCATTTTTTTCACTAGTACATTCCATCAGATATTTTAACCTATATCTCCACACACAAATGTGACACAGCATGTACTAACAAATGCTCTAACCTAACTAGGTTTCCATCTAGATTTACGGGTTTTCATGAACTACTGATACTTGCATAATCCAGATATCATGTGATTCTGACTTATTGTTTAATATAATATATATACAACATAATATAATAGACATATCTTGAACATTGTTTTCCCTTATATGTTCTCAACTTAACATGTGTGCTTATCTTTATTTTATAACCCATATTTTTTGAACCACTTTATTTAAGCATGTGTCATAACCTATCTAAGTCTTTATCTGCCAGCATGATCTCCTTATCTCCATATCAATGTTCATCTCAATGTTTCAGCATAATCTCTTTTTGTAGATCTCTGGGCTCTAACAAGTTCTCATTTTATAAATCTGTGTTAATCTCCACAGCAATCCTGAGGGGTTCTCTGCAGATTCTTTTACACTTCTCTCTTCTATTTTAGCCTGCATTTTGCCTTCAGCTCTGGTGTTACATATGGGGTTTCTTTGTTGCTGGGACTTTATAGGTCAAGCAATTCTCATACCACCTCTGATCACGTGATCGTTAAGAGGAAATGGGGCAAGAGAAGCAGAAGGTGGGCAAAGAAACTTTATAATGAATCCTTCTGACAGAACCCGTAACACCCATTGATCATCGATAAAGAAACACCAGCAATGAAGAAACTCTAATAACCAAGCCCCCTCTGGACCTGAACCCACGGGGTAGTTACCAGTGCTGGTGGCAAAGGGAGTTACGTCATTGAGGAAATCGACAAGAAGAAGGAGGAACGGGTAAGGGTTGGGAGGATGAAGGATGGGAATAGGTGGTATATGAGGCTTTGACTGAGACAAATGGGCTTACAAAAATAATAAGGGTTGATAGCTGGCAGACCGATTTCACCCAAGGCTTGATATTTTCAAAGATGTAACATCTCAGATAAGGTGCAAGACATAAATCTCCAAGATATGTTGAGGATAAATTGACCTGAGCCAAAACTGCATCCTTTTGCAGCTGCTTCCTCCCCCACATCTGGATCTACATCTTTTTGTGGACAACAGGAAGCTTAGGGCCATTGATCTGCAAACGAAACAGTCTTGCATATTAATATTATCGAACTTCTAGCATTACACTGGGTGTTGCATAACTCCCTTCTCCTTCCTTGTCATTGTGTGATGATGGTTCATTTGTACAATTCTTTGGTGGTGACACATATCAACCACCAAGGAGTACCTGCTTCAGAGATCAGTGTTTTCAGACATTGGATCTATTATATAGGGCCCATGCACATCACATTTGCCTTATAGTATGTCATGTGCCAGGTGCTTTCAAACTAGTCACTGATTGTCTTTCGTGCCCCAACCAGGTATATCCAATAAAATGAGCATTAGATCCACTCATTTTCAGGTACCTTTGCCATTGGTGGGGTTCTCCCCACTTGGATGCCTTTTCCACAGGCCTCAATACCAATTTGCCACTCCTTTGGTCACCTGTACTGCATCCACAGGCTTTGATGGTCGATGCCTTCAGCCAGGATTGGTCACACAAATATCTTTATGTGTACCCTCCCATCTCATTGCTTCATCGGGTGATTTCTCTTGTCCACTCCACTTCTTGTTGTGTCCACTTGATTACTCCCTATTGGCCAGCTCAATCTTAGTTTTCAAGGTTACAACATCTGCTTCTATCAACACCTGTCCCTCTTCCACTTTCTCCCACCCTTCTTCATCAACCTTGATCCTACATCCTACATCCCAATCTCCATGTCCTACATCTTCATGCCTGGCTTTTGTCCAGTCCTTGTTGAGACAATCCAGTTTCATATGTCAAGTCACTTCCTTGTTCGCTAGTATGAAACAACCATCTTCCATGGAAGTATACCAATGCAAGTGGAAAGTCTTCCACTGTTGGTCTGCTAACAGGGGGTTTCCTGCTGACAAGCCCTCTGTGGCTTGTGTGTCAGAAATTTGCACCTGGCTCTTCGACTGTGGGTGTCTTTGTCACCCAATGGAGGAGATTATACAGTCCAGCATGTGGACCACTCTCAGTATGTTCATCTCCCACTATCTTCATCATGCTTTCGTCTACCACCTGTGGCCATTCGCTAGACTTCAGTGTGACTTAACTGATAAGTTTTATTCATTCTTTTTTTTCAGGGGTTTTTATCTCCCTTTTTATCACATGGATCCTGCTCTGTGATGAGTGGTGCCTGACTGGGTATTCTTTAACTATAAATCCACACTGTACAGCCATGTTGACTTATACCCTATTTTTCATAGCTTTGCACGCTCACTGTCAAAATGGGGTGTTTCACAAGATCCTCCCTGATGGTGAATAATTTCACGATATTTTGCTTCGTAAACATGCCCATCCCAGACCGTATCACCCATGGACTGCATGGGTAAAGCAGTAGGGAATTGCTGCCCATCCCTGCTATGCCTTGAGTGAATAACTCAGTTTGGACTGCTTTTCAAAATAAGGTTTCATGGTCACCCATTGTACTGTCTCCAGTGGTGACGTTCCTCTGGCTCTCCACTGCATTGTCACCCTCCTTTCCTCGAATGGAGTATGGGAGTCTTTCCCACTTTCCAGTTCCAAGCCGATGGGGTGGTTTACCGTGGAGGCACCCTCTTGAATGAGTTCCACAAAGAAAGGGCTTAGAACCATTCAGTCGAGAATAGGGCACTGGTGTTCTGCTGGTGTAGATGAGACATAGCCTCCAGAGGAGTTGAGCCGTCACCTTGCTGGATGACGTGGCATCCTGATAACATTTACACAACCATTGGAGTCAAGCCATTGCCTTACTGCATGATATGGCCTCCAGCAGAGTTGAGCCTTCACCATAATGGATGACATGGCCTCCTGATACCATTTACACAACCACGGGAGTTGAGCCATCATCTTAAGGGATGACGTGGCCCTCTGATTCCACTTACACAAACACTGGAGTTGAGCCGTCACTTTACTGGATGATGTGGCCTCCTGATAACATTTACATAAACACTGGAGTTGAGTCTTTGAAATTTCAGTTCATCTCTTTGATTGGGAGACTTCATCCTCCCTCGTGTGGGTGTTGGTACCCCATGTGAAGAGGTTTTGGATTAGAGTGAACCAACCACCAGAAGTCCTCACACATGTTTTGTTTGTCTATCTTCCTCCCTCAATTACTGTGGAACCTTATTAAAATCTTTTGAGGAAATTTTAAGTACACCAAGTCCATATATGGGGACTTTTTCTTATGCTGCTTTGTATTGCAATTTTTTGATGAAGCTATCCATGATTCCAGCTTATTTAATAATAATGTCACCATCACCATGCTAAACTAACCAACATGATACTTGAAGAAGGTGGGAATACTGAATGGAATGACTCATTGGGCTTCAGATTATTGAAACAGACACCAATGAATGTAGAATTTTCTTGGAATATTTTATCAAATAACTACAGACTTAATTATTTTCTGGAAACAGTTTTGTGAGGAATGATAGAGAGTAAACCTTATCACCATTGATTTGAGTGTGTGCCCAGTATTGGTTTTAAGCTGTTATTGCAGTTGATACTCTATTTTGAAGTGAAATGTCATGAGTCATAAAAAGTTAAATCCATTTTTAGCAAATAAACCATTTATAAACATGAGTGACTAATCATTGCATTTTATATCACAAGATGAATCATGAGATTCCCAAATTTCATAAAAAATTAACTGATGAGGGGTAGTGGATAGTGATTTTCGTGTCTTAACTGACATGGGATAAATTCCAATTATTTTTTCATTGTTTTGTGTATGTAAGTCGCGACTTGAGTTTTGACGTGAATCTGTGGTAATGCTATATTTTTACTTAACTTTCCATGTCAGTTACTGCCTACTGACATATGTGTTTATGTGTGTGTGTGTATACTAATAGATATGGACAGTTACTGTGGTACACAGTAGATTCATGTTGTTGTGTACTCATCCTTTTGTATGTTGTATGCTTATATAACTATCTTTAGTTACTTCTTTATTTTTCACCTAAACATTCCAACACTTGCTCTAATCCAGATTACTGTGATTTAATCATTGTAGATGTCTTGTGAGATGTTTGTTGGCTGTCAGATAACATGCTTAGCTTCATGTTTGTTTTTCAAATAGATTTCTAATAACTGCTGTAAGATAGATTATGAAAAAAAAACTGTCTGTAATTCTATATCAATAAGTTTATCCTGACATTAAGAAAACACCACATAGGATTTCACCCAACTGATGACTAGGTATCATATTCAGCACTAAGACGTTGAATGATATCGTGTCTATAATAATATTCAAATTATTTTATTACACATTAGAATTAATTTTGAGAATTTTTATAGTGAAAAGATATTTGAGAAATCATGGAGTCATCGAAGGCCAGAGGAAATGCCACTGGTTAAAGAAAAAGTAAACCTCAAAGAGTTGGTAAGTTGTAAGCATCTTATATATATATATATATCGAACTGTGGTGTCTGTTTGAGCATTCGTCTATGTCCTGTTTATAACGGCTGCTTCTCACACTGCGTTTGAAAAGCTTTACATGCAGGCAAAGCTCAACATTCACTTTTGAAATGATGGGAGAACAGGCATGAATAATGTTGATGCCTAATTTTATTTTGCAAGCAGGATATTGAACACTAAATTGTTAGGAATTAATCACATTATCATTCACATTTTAAAATGTGATGTAACTTATAGAATAAGAATGTAGATTCACTGTAAGTTATTGTTGAGCAGCTCTTAGTAGGATTGAAATGCTCAACAATTACTTTTTATGGTGGGTAATATAAATAGCTCAGAGCTTTGGCACTGAGTGAAACCAAGGGTGCAACACAATTAACCTTTTTAAAGTCCATGAAATAACTTAAAGTGATAGATTAACGTAAACTTTTCCTGTCACTGGGAATGGGTACCTTTGCTTGTACTAAGGTAATTTAAATGTTTAGTTGTATGGTAAAAATGTAAAAGTTATTAAGATGCCAATTAATCCATTATGTAAAGAATATCTATGCATATATCTTCTAAAGACTACACAGATACAATTTCTTGAAAACACATATTCTATAAAATATATAATAATTATATAATAACATAACTGACAGAAAAGATAATGCAAATAAAATAATGATAAATCCATAGAAAACTAGTATAAACAAATTTGTCTTTAACATGTTATTTTGCTACTAAATCTGGTATTATTTGTACAGAAATGTAAATACAAACTAAAATTCACTATTTGGTCTGCAGCTATACTGTTTATGAAATTTTATGTAGTTTTACTTTCATATTCAATGTATTTGGTGTGAAAAAATGCTAAAAGAAGACAAAAGCATGCAATTTTTTAAAATATTTACTTTTTTTGTAATGAAATCGTAACCGTTTAGTTACAAATCAAGAAACATTAGAAACTATTTCATGACATGATTGTACATTTAATAACTGGTATTTCAATACAAATTCTTAAAATATGAAATTGTAAGGTTAAGAATATTCTTTATAATTAAAATATGTTTAATGATCCAACATGATATACCAAAGCTGTTAAAAATCATTATCATCCACAACTATTTTCCTTTCTATTCAGTCATAAAGTTTACAGTATAATAATGTTTAACATCAAGCTTCATAGAATTCATAACAATATAGTTAGCTCTTAAATTTTACTTGTAATAAAATTTTATATGCTTTGAATTGTTTGCAGTATATTTTGTTTATTTATATATTATTTAGTTTAGTGAAGAAGAAACTGAGGGCAGGGAAATCAAAATGCTAGTTGTGAGAAAGGTGAGAACATTTTTGACTGGGTCAATTTTAATGGAAGTATGACCTACAACATTTTCAGGATATAAGTATAATTTATAAACACAATGGTTAAGATTAGTGTAGGAATTAAACGTTCACAGTTTGTTTGGTGTAATGGGTACAATGAGTGGTTTTCATTTGGGAACTTGGGACTGCCAAGTACTTTTAAGGAAGCTTGTAATGAAGATGTGCAATTTGTATGTAGAGTTTGTAGGTTGGAAGCTATACTAATTAAAGTTGAGGTGATAGATTAAGAGAAGTGAAGAGGGTGGGAAATGTCAGCAGGATTTCAAGAGGCAAAGAATACATCAGTTAACAATGAATTTCAGGAAGTTACAAAATGTACTATTAGGGGAAAAGTAGTGAATTTAATTGTAGTAAGCCTATTCTATTGAGCAACAAATTTCAGCTCTTGGCTTCTGCAGATGAGGAACTATTGAAGGGAAGGAAAACAAAAGGGTCAGAGAAGGATGTGGATGATAAAGAGGTTATGGTTATAGGTGGTTCATTAACAATGCAAGTGGATAGTCTACTCTGTGGGGTAAATAGGCAAAAAAGAATAAGATTATGCTACCCAGTGGCACAGGTGGAGGATATAACTGACAGAGCAGGAGATATAATAAAGGGGGTAGGAGATGCAGTTTTATGGTGCATGTAGGGGCTAATGATGTAGGGAAAGGTAGGTCAGAGGAGCTAATTGATAAGTACAAGGAGATGATAAATGAATTTAAAGAAAAAGAACACAACCTAATTTTAAATTGTCAGGGATACTGCCAAGAATTAATTGTGGGGATGAAGTTATAAGTAGGTCACAAGGGCTAAATGCTAGGCTTAGGATAGTATGTAAGGATGAGCAGATTGGCTGGATGGACTTGTGGGATCAGTTCAGTGGAAGAAGGGAGCTTTTTGGAATGGATGGTTTACATTTAAATAAGATAGGGGCCAGCTTGTTTACTACGGCTATTAACTCAGCTGTAAGGGAAGTTTTAAACTAGGTCTAGACAGTGGTGAGGGCCAGGATAGACTAAATGCAAAAATAATAAGGGGCATAGAAAAGTTTAGCTTAGGAAATGAATATAGAACTAGTAATAAGGGTAGGCTTAATTGTTACTATTGTAATGCTAGAAGTATAAGAAATGAAATAGATGACTTTAGAGCACTGGTAGGAATGGAGGATTTTGATATTGTTGCGTCAGCGAGATCACGTGACTAGTGTCACGCCACCTATTTTCTAGAAATATCTTGTTCTTTCGTGAATGCCCTAGCATTTACTTGATATATGTTTGTCTGGTATATATATAAGATGCTCACAACGTGACGGGACAATGTGTGT